TGACTACAAGCAAATCAGTATATTAAGCATGACGCAGATATTTTGCATGCTGCTAAATTACAGCAGTGCTTTTTATTGTCAAAAAAATTCATGCTGGCACATGTCTGCTTTCATCTCCATCATCTACCTAACCAGACAGTATCTCAAATTTGCCTTAGGAAATTATTAGCTAATATTAATGAACTTTGTGAAAGTCTTTTGCAGTGGGAAGAATAATAAACATACTTCAAAGACTAGCTCACCAGTTACCAGTCTTAGAATCTTTTTGGTTGAAAATTTTGTCTCTGTTCTTACTATGTTTTACACTAAATGTACTTTCACCTATAAATAGTTTTATAACTTAATTTGAATCCTGAGAAGTTATTTCATGTTCTTTTATGACAGTTTTTATGCTGCTGCTGTTTTATAAATATTATGTTTGTTAACTTCTGGTTTAAATCAAACTCTTTTTTTTTATTCTGTATCCCACTATAGGAAAAATGAGACACATATTGAAATTATTCTTCTTCAACTGTGGAAACTACAAAAAAGTGTAGATATTTTAAAATATTTTAGTCAAAATCATTAAATAAATGGATACTGAGACAAAAAAATGGAACAACTCTATGGTCTAAAATTATTAAATTCACGAGGAAAATTAGTATCATAAACATTATCTCAGTCTAGAACAAAGTAATTCAATGGATTCACTAAAAATTCTTATTTAATGACAGGTACTCTGTGTGTCTTAATAATAGAGTAAATAAAGGTCCTCATGCACATGCTATAGTAAATGATTAATTTACAAAGACTATTTTGCTGTACCTACTTTATAGCCTGATAAAGTCAAGAATGTTTTTAACTGGTGCAATGTGCATTGACTCAATGGTCTTGTATAAAGAATGTAGCCCATATAATTCTGATTACAGTTAAAATTGCTTGAAACAAGTTCTTTCTGTTAGGAAACTAAAATTTCCAGTGTAGGAAGTCAAACTTTTTCATAACAATATTATCCATGCAAAGGGTGTTTTTCTCTCAATATTTTATGTCACAGAATCATAGAAGGCCTTGGGTTGGAAGGGACCCCAAAGATCATAAAGTTCCAAATCTCCTTTTATGGGCAGAAACACCAGCCCTTAGATCAAGTTCTCAGGGCCCCCATCTAACTTATTAGTAGTTACTACTTATTAGTATAAGTAGGAGTTCAATTCCAGGAACTTACTCTGTGACTATATATTTTTCCATTTTTGGGGGGTCAAATTCTACTTTTAATTTACTTCCCTACTGCATTACAAATGCATGAAATAACCTTACAAATTTACACACAGAAATAAGACTTCATTAATGCTTTCCATTCACAAAATTATTGTATTTTCAGTTTCTGCCAGTGAATTACATTGGCTTAATCAAGGCAAAATGGATAAATATCTCTCTCTATAGTCTGATTCCTAGGCCAGGTATGGACTGAATCAGCAATACTGTAGTCCAGCACCGATGAAAATTATTAGTGGCCCTCAGTCCTACCAAGCAGATATCTTTTGTGCCAGAATAATTCTCTGCTGCTCTTTCAGACACAGTGAAAGGCCAGAAAAGAGTACAAAAGGGCCTAGGAAGAGGAATGGATAAGGTTTTTGATATTCATAGTGAAAGAATTTTGAAAGGGAAAACCTCATTAAGAAATCCAGAAAGGGCATGATTCAACTGGTTTCACAAGCCATACCCACCTCACATTAAAGGCAGTCTGGTCTTTTGAGGTTGGCTTGTCAAACTGAATTTAAAACTGTCTTTTCTGAGTAGTTATCAAAGGTTTGTAGTGACAGAACTGAGATAAATGCTTTTAATCCAGCTGGTTGTGATTTCTCCTAATGTTTCCTACTTCGAAACCTCTACTACATTTTTCTAGCCAATTATACATATAGCTTTAGATATACAAATGTTCAGGGATCTCTCTCCATCTTAGTAAAAGAAGTGACAAAACCCTGAAAAGACAGAAGAGGCTGAGCTTGGCCTAATTTCATATCTATGCACAGTGTCTGAATCAGCTGAAATGTAGACTATTTAGGAATAGAAATCTATAATATCTCCACAGGCAGAACTTTCACTGTGGAGATAAAAATGATCAGTACTGGATGCTTTCTTTTCCTTGCTGGTCTTGCTCTCTAAGGAGGGATATATGATTATTATTTTTATAATGATTCTAGTTTTGATAGGATATACCATGAAGAGTAATTCAGCTAATTCAGAGAAATACATGATATTTTTCCCTATAGAAATTTTGTTACAAATTTTTGACAAGCTGGACAAAGCTGAAAAAAATTGTTTAACTTAAAGTCATCTAATAAAATAACACCCTAAGTTCTAAAAGGGAAGCAAGACTACTAAATAGCTTTAATTGTAAGTATTTCAAAAGTTTCAGATTCCTGATTCAGTATCTTGAATATTCAGTGCTTGTTGCAGAGCTGTTCCCCAGTCTTTTTGGGCCTTTGTGAACACAGATTTGGAAATTTGACTGAAGACTGGAAGCTGACTGGAAGCTGACTGAATTGTTCAAGCTCAGCCACAACCAGAGCTTTAAACAATTGCTTCATTTCCAACCTTTTCTTGTCTGAACTATTTTTATTTTATCCTTGTGAAATTAAAAAAAAATAGATTAATGATTCCTTAGACAAAAAAAATAGACACATAATCAAACTCTAAAATGTTAATTCCAAGATATGATTTTGAAAATGAATTTCTTTCTGAATAGCTGAGAGCATTTTAACAATAGATGAGGTGGTCCCAATCACTTTTATCAGTTACTTATGAACAGCATCTGCTGTCTTTTTACTAGCAACTCAATAATGCCTTCAGCTATATTTTATTAGCTGTCTTAATTGGAATAGAGGAATGAGAGAGTATATTTTACTTTCAGTGTGCAAATATCAGCTTATTGATTTATTTCAGTTGAAAGATGATGGAATAAATAAGAACTTTTCATGCCAGAAGAAATATCAAATTGGTGGGGATTTTGACTAGGGGTACACAAGATTATTCACACTCAAGTCTGCCGAAGTGTTGGTTCTTTGCATCCTTAAAATGGTGTTCAGTGTTTACCTGTCCAAATATCTGCTTGGAAATACATTTGACAACCTCAGAAATCTTAATCGTGGTTTATATTTTTGGGGATCAATTCACTTACTGACATGTAGTTGTCTACTGGCTTCAGAGTGCCAGCAGTCATGTTTTTTTCTGCTGGGTTTTGTACTGTACTATTTTCCATATCTCTCAGCCTGGACAGAATGTCAACACAACTTAAATGTCACAAAAAATGTCTTATCACTGTCTATGGGTAGCTGAACCAAGTCACATCTTGAAAATAAAGATAAGATTCTTGCAGACACCTATATGTAAATGTTTATATTTACATTTATATTAATGTAAGTGTTTTTGGCCACATGTTTAAATATTTTTTGTGCTGTTCTTTAGGCTCAGATGACTACTCTGAGTGTAACAGCAAGTTGGGCACTGTAGACATCCACAGATTAACAGAATCAGATGCTTTAATATTGATTTCATTTGTAGATATCTGATAATCATAAATAAAGTTAAATATGTTGGGTCCGAATCCAAAGAAAAAGAAAGTATATTTGCTTTAGTATCTCTCACAGAGGAGTACGGATTCTCCTGGGTGCTTTAGTCAGAGCACAGCTATGTCTGTCAGGCACTACCAAAATGTTCTCAGGCTTCAGTGACATATTCAGTGGTTGTACAGCACTTCCTTATTCATCAGCATCCTTACCAATGAAATGTAATGGTAAATGCACATTTAAATGGCTCTGAATTCATGGAGTGCTTAGGACAGTAAAAGCTTCCAAATGAGTAATTGCTTTACAGAGACAGCTTTCACATCCAAAATTGCTTAGTGGTTGGACTTTAAAATAGCCTGTGTTTCTATTAGTTAATCTCCAGGCACTATATAAAAGGCAACAGACTGCAAAAAGGTTCATGTGGAATGAATATAGCATGGTATTAGGGGGAAAGAACAATCAGAGCTATTTCCTCCTGGGACCCATTATAAACAGTAGAACGAAACAAGTTTCATGCCTGCAGATGCTTACCAACACAACATCATTTTTGTTAAACCACATTTTTTATAATTTCAAGTTTAAAATACTCTTCAGAAGTTGTTCATGACTTTCCAACATAACTCTACCCTCATAAAACATTCTGATGAAGAAAAACAAGGCACTGTTGTGGGGGGTTATAATTGTCTTGCAAAGCAGACATGTTGCTGTTAGTGTGGGTAAGAATTTTCCTCAGCGTAAGCCAGAGCCTTGAACCTGAGGTAGTAATTTTTTTAAATCCATGTTTAAAGCATAATGTGATAGTCTTACCTGAAACACATTTCATACTTGATCTCTACTATATTCCAAGTGTAAAACTCATGCTGAAAATGTGTTCCCATTGATAGATCTTTATGCGGAATTTGTTTAATATCAGATCTTGTTTTCTATATTTTTTGTGCTTCTTAATACTTTGATGCACAGCAAAAACACAGAGAAATGATAATAAATGGGCTGCATATTTCTTCCTTGTCTGGATTAACAGATATAAGTTTGCACTTCCACTTTCATCTCATAGATGGTGAGCTTAGGCGGTGTCATGGTTTGACAGTGGTGCAATGCCAGTGCCCCTGCTTACATGATTTTTAAACCTATAGAGACAAACCTGCATGTAGGTTGTGGTGCTCTTCACTGAGTATGCAGTAAAGAAAGAATGAAAATATTCATTAGCAGAAAGAAATATCTTCCTTCCTCTTCAGGTGGACAAAATACTAAATAGCACATGAGTTTGGTAATAATATTGAAAACATCTATGTTTTTTTTTCACTATATGAGATTCACATGGTTTCAAATATTATGTATTTTCTTTTTTTCTATTTTCTGATGTCAGATAAAAAAGCAGTTACTCATTGTTTTTATTTTTGCTGCAATTCTGAGCTCTTGTTTTGTCAACATTTTTATTTGCATGGACTTTCTTAGGTTATATTCGGTTGGAGGTCGGGATGGAAGTTCATGTTTGAGTTCAATGGAATATTATGATCCTCACACGAATAAATGGAATATGTGTGCTCCTATGTGTAAGAGAAGAGGAGGTGTAGGAGTGGCTACCTGTGATGGCTTTCTTTATGCAGTTGGAGGTCATGATGCTCCTGCTTCTAATCACTGTTCTCGACTGCTGGATTATGTGGAAAGGTATCAAATTATACATGCATTTTTTAAATACAAAATAATATCTGGTAGCATTATTTTCTTAGCTTAGTTATGGCAAGTTTAAACAGATGTCTAGAAATGTCTAGTTAGTTCTTACTTGAAACATTGTATAAAGGTGTGTGAAAGACAATCTCTTTGAATCTTATTGTATTCCCTTTTTATTTACAGTACTATTGTATATTACTACAAACACAAAAATCCACTCTTTTCACATGCCATTTAAGTAATTTTAGGACACTATATTATGCATTGAAGTGTCACAACTAAAAATTGTAGAGATAAATTTTTTTCCTTGAAATCATTTTATAACACAAAATTGAATTATATTTAGAATATTTTCTAACTCCAAAAACATAGCTAAGCAAAGAAGAAATAAAGTGATGGATATTCACATAACAATGGATTCCTTCCTTTATCAAAATTGCCACTTTCTAATGTGGTGATGTAAGTCTGATACACTTACAGTACCTTGAATTTTGCAAGTAGATTTTCTACAAATCCAAATATATCTAGTAGAGCAGTGCAGCCCAGATGAAGTCATTAAAGCATTCAGTTTAAAGGTATTCTTCAAATTTTTAGTGAATGTTTGATTTTTTTTCCTGTTTCTGAATGCTATAAAATAGAATAAGGAAAATATTCACTTCAAATGTGCACAGATTGCAAAAGTTAAAGTAGGTGTGTTTGAGTAATTGGCTTATCTTAAGATATAAGCTGGAAGAGATTTACCTCGTTATTTCTTTTCAGAAGGGCTTGATTAAATGTCAGTTATTTCTTTTGCTAAATCCAGGTTGGTATTCAATATTTAAGTGAAAAATTATAAGTGAAAACTCCTTATGTTTTCCATATGATCATGCTCAATCTTAGACTCATTGCCATGTCTACTATATGTAAGCAGACATCATTGCCAACTTCTTCTCATCTGCAACAGAGGGACTGTTAATCAGGGAAATCCCATGATGCCTGCACTTACAGGAACTATGCTTGTGGACCTCTATTTATAAGCAGCAATACCAAGAATTTTCAATTAAATAAATTTATACTAAGACTACTAGTGGCAGTCTTAATGATTTATTTTCAACTGCTTCTGCTTATTGGTACCGAGAAGGGAGCTTTTATTTCATTTTTCATTCTCTGAGAAGAAAACCCTTCTGGTGTTGATGACAAACCATACTCCATCGCATTTGCCTTTCTCAAGAGAGACTGCAAAGATCAGCTAAACCTATCCTTATGCTGTTTTAGGTACTAGTGTTAGAGTGACAATGTATAGTATCCCTCATCTAGATATTTTTTCCACTGGTAGCAAAAAGAGTGGATGACGTAGTTCATCAAGAGTTAGCTTTGAGTCTAAAAGTTGAGACTAACAAACAAAAACTTGTAAGATTATAAACTTACATCGAGTGGATGTGAGTTAAATGGTGGACTCCACTGAAATGTTAAAAAACACTCTCATGGCCCTCACAGTGATTAGTTAGTTTATAAGATGGCTGGAATGTTATTTAGTGTGTCTGGTTTTTTATTCCAAAATAACACATCACTTCCAAAAAACAAAAGCTCCTCAATATCTTAGGAAAACAAAGAATAGTAAGTGATGAGGAGGTCTATTATCTGAGTAATTTTATATCTCTCTGAAAGTTTTTATTTCTGTAAATATTGATGGCCTGCTTTTTAACTCTCTTCTTCTTCAGGAATGAGTCTGCTTCATTCATTTTGTCATTCTGATGCAGACTGATAGGATGTGCTTTATTCCAGTCCCAATTTGTTCCGGGAAGACTGTCAAACCAAACATAATATTTTAAAATTTATTTTTGAGATTGTGCAAATATAGTGGAGGCAGCAGATATGTGTTTTCTTAATGCTACTGCTTAAGTACTGCTCAACAGTAGTTAGGTATTGCAGTTTACTTTCTTCTAAGGTTGATGCATTTTTAAAGGATTTTGTCTGGATTCAAGCATTCTGAAATAATTGTTACATTTCATTCATCTTCACAAGTCGGCAAAGTGCAATCTTCCTTTCCTTTTTAATGGCAAAACAACTACTTCATAAGAATTATAAAGTTTTCAAAATATTTTGGCAGATTTTATAAAGCAGGTTTTCTTTTTCACATGTTGCTCAAAACTTGACAGATGCTAAAAACATAGTCATTTGACCTATAGTTTTTTTCCCCCTTTTCTCATCTTGATTTCAAAATTGATTTCTTTCCACATTTGGGAGCTTTTATCATAACCCTGTTCAGCCTGGGGCATACCTAGTTATTATAAAGATGACATATACAGTTGCTTTTTAGCAGCAAAAAGGATGTAAGAAATCTCAGGTATTTTCCTGGAGGTTACAAAACCAACAAGTTCCTGTGCAGTTCTATTTCATTGACAGAATTGAGTTATGAGGATTCATTTTAGCCTTGCATACCTGTTTATGGGAAGAAAAAGGAAAAAGAAAAGGTCAAATGACGATGTCAGTTTTATTGTTTTCCAGCTTTAACTTTTGCACCTACTCACCTTGGTCCTTGTAATTTAAGAGGAGTGTATGGAGGAGTCTATTAAACATTTATTACCTTTAGGTAGGCGAAGATACAATGAACACTGGTGCATTTCACTGGATGGGAAACTGTTTCAGCGAGAGGAATATGATGCTGTTGTTGAAAAACTCACACAGTCTTTGAAAAAATATCTATTAATTTTTTTTTTTTTGGCTTGTTACATGGTCAGTTCCCTTCCACATATTCAAGCAATATTTTGCAGTATTTTCCTCTAAAGTTAGGAAAGACATTTACCATGTATCTAGATATTTGAGATTTTATTTTCTGAGAAGTCTCCCAAATGCCAGGATTAGTGGCTAGCACACAAGTAGATTGTTTTCTTAAAATGCATTTATGTCTCAAGAGCAATATGAACAAGGTTACAGACAATTCTTGGATCATCCAATTAAAAAGTTATATTTATGAACCAAAAGGCTATTACAAGCAAAACACTAGCATTGCTGTTTCAGTGCTTGTATTAATATACATACATATATATATATATATATATATATATATATATATATATATAATATTTCATTGTTCAAATATGTAGGACTTCAAACAGTATCCCTCCAAACTGCTTATTGATAATATGACTTACTAAAACACTTACACATTTAAGCAAACTAATAAAGTCAGACTTTTTAGAGGCTGTGTGGACTGAAACTGCTTATTTTCTCCACCGATCACATGATTATATTACATAGTAAACTTGCTTAAGGACAGATTAAATTAATTTTGTTATACTGCGATGCACTATTCTGTTTATCAATATTTGTCATCTAAAAATGAGATATCTAGTGTAACCTAATACTCCAGACACCCTTGGTAAAAAACTATCAAAAGATAATTAATAATAATAATTTCTCGTTTATGCATGCCCAAAAGAGTTACAATGGAATGACTTCAGAAATTTAACAATTTTACTGTGTTCATGAATATCTAAATGAAAAGTTAGGTTAAATATTTAATTTTTAAATTACCATCATTATACAAAAGGATTTTTACCCTCAGTTTTAAAAATTCTGTTGTGATTATGCCTAAGAAACAGTATTACTTAATCTACTTGAGCAAATATCAGGAGGAGACACTAACTGTAATGCAGTTAAGCATTAGAATACATAGGGAGATTTTTACTGTTGTACAGTATAATTTCAGGAATTGAAATATAGTAAATTTAATTTTAGAAATAATATTTCTAATATTTTAGATGTGCTACGGGAAATACCCCACTTTAAATGTATACATAACAGATAAATAAAATGTTATAGCCATCCATTCAGATATTGCTCATCTCTTTCTGGTCATATATCTTTATTTATCAGATCTCTTTATGACACACTATCCTACAAATACCTTAGTTTATTCTAGAAGGTTCTGAGCAAAAGTTTCTAATCAGCAGCTAGAGGGTTGAATTGGCAACACAATAAATCTGTATCTTTTCTTTTTGATGTTAGGAAGAATTCTTTTGGGTAGGATACTAAAGGTTTGGTTTTCCTCCCCCCCTCAGGAAAAAAAGAACAATATTCAAATGAAAATCAACATGAATCGATGCTTCTCTTCTCTGCACATACCCAGTTTCATTTTTCTTTGCTCAGGTATGACCCAAAAACTGATACATGGACAATGGTGGCTCCACTGAGTATGCCTCGAGATGCTGTTGGTGTTTGTCTCCTTGGTGACAAATTATATGCAGTGGGTGGCTACGATGGTCAATCATACCTGAACACTATGGAAGCATATGACCCTCAAACTAATGAGTGGACACAGGTAATTATAAAGTTGATTTTATATATACACATGTGAACACACACATGCATATACAGTCTTATATGTAGGAATTAGCCATTAGCCAAGGTTTCTTTAAACCTAGTGCAGAAAGGTTCATACTTTGGAATCATGATCTTCTCTTAAAATAAGCATTTGAAATAGGTGAGATGTATTTTTATACTCAAGAATGCCTACTTCTTTTTATGATTGCAAGGGGGAACTTCTGTTGACAAGCTTGAATGTAGACACAAATGCTTTAAAGTTAGTACAGAAGGCCACATTTTTTAATCCACTATGAATTACTGGGAAGAGCATTTTTGTGATGCTCTGTAGGAGATACGAAATTAATTTGGGAATATTTTCTTTTTGCAAAACCACAAGTTCACATTAAAAACCATTAAAAATATGATTGGACAGGTAGTTTGGAGACATGTAAACAATGTTGTGATTTATACAGCTGCACCAATTACAGTGTGTTGTTACATACATATAAGCTGACTCTACTGTGATAGTTTCAGCAAGATTCAGTCCCCTAAAGGTTTTAATCCTTGTGTTGTCTTGAATACTGTTTACAATTGCCAAAAATATTCTAAAGGACACTTGAACCTGTTTAGGAATACTCGAACCATTTCTGTATATTCATAGCTTTCACCTTGCCTCAAGGACTAGAGTGGAAGCATCAGCCACAGTCTAAAGAATACAGAACCCCCTTGCATATCAATGGTTCACAAAATTGATGACAACTCTCAAATTAATTCCTGCTTCCTCTTCTCACATCTTTCAAATGAAAGATGTCAGGTGCGAGTAAGCAATTTTAAATTACAATAGTAGCATAATGTGGGTTTTGTTTATTTTTAGCAATTTATACTCCCATTAGTTTTGACCATTTAAAATTAATTTTGACTCAGCATTTTGAAAATCTTTGCATGGCTTGTTCCTCTTTGGCAATCTTTTGCATGGTTTTTTCCTATTCAGTTAATTTGTGTCTGTTTTTCTGCAGATGGCTTCCTTAAATATTGGAAGGGCTGGTGCCTGTGTTGTAGTCATCAAACAACCGTGACTTTGTCAGCACTGCTTAGGATTTTACTGACTGTGAAATGATTATTTTTCTATGAGACAAAAAGAATGATAACTTCACAAAAGCAAGTATCTAAACAGTGAATACACTGTTGATCACAAACTTGAAGAAGTTTGGAAGTGACAAAGATTAAGTATTTATGCCCTATAAAATCATAAAACTGTTCACAGTCAGTGAACAAGGAAAAAGCCCCCGAGTATTGTAGGCGTAAATATGTGAATGTAGAGTAGTAAGTTCAGGTATCGTTCTCATGAATGTGTCCTGGAGAACTGGATAATCATGGAAAATCTACACAAAGAGTGGAAAGGAATATGAGAACAGTTTTCATGGCTGCAAGAGAACTGCAGAAACATGAAAGTATATTTAATCAATTTTAAACTGTGTTTTTTAAAAGAGAAAAGTGGGTAGTAATATAATTTTTTGCTGTTAAGTCTTGTCTTCAAATGGGTTATGGTCTTCTCATTTAAATGAGCAGTTTGACTTTACTGAAAGGAAGAGGTCAAATGGTCTGGATATTCATAGTGACTGAGCTGTGACTCTAGAGCAGGAAGAAACACAAAACTAAAAGTAGACTTGTTTTGTAACTTCAGGTTGTACCTCCTCACCTGTGTTAATGCATCATATAAATGAGTCTGTTGAGGGGGAAGCCTGTGTGTTTAATCAAGTAATATAAAGCAGTCCTGTGGCTGCACTGGGGCTTTGTTGCAAATATGGGAGTCAAAGAAACAGTTACCTAATTATTTCTTAATCTTATATTCAATTTAAGCATGTGGGCTCTAACCTGATCATTTAATGCATCTACTGCATGTTGGAGGCTCATGACAAGCTGGAAAATTGATCCACTTCTTTTGCTGCATCATGTTAATGGAGGAACCATGACAGGAACAGTCTATAAATACTCTTGTAACATTTCAAGAGGGAGAAAAATCCTACATTTTATTTCTTTCTGATGCTTGTACATACACAATTTTACCTACTTAGAGCTGCAAATTTATGGCTTTCCACTTATGACTGAGTATAACTGCAAGTCAGGAAATCAGAATAAATGCAAGTGGAATAAGGAAAATTAGACCATTTGATCTAATAAATTTCATATGGTAAATATACTAGTGTCATCTGTGCTTCCTTTTAGGGTTGATAACTTCTGCCAGTAATGATAGATTGAGCTTTTGATTTGGCAGTAAATTTGGTGCTGATGCTTTCTGTCTGCTCAGCTGAATCAGTTAGAACCTAAGGGCACTACTGGAATATGAAATTCTGCTATTCAGGGATGCACAGCTTCTGGGAACAGGGCACCAAATATAATTCTCTAAAGCCTTGCTGATCCTATAGGAAACAATTTATGGCCCAAAAGCCAAAACTTCACAATCCTCTGTAACTAGCAATTTTGAGAAGAAATTCTGGTTGCACTAAAATGAGTTTTCTTAGGGGAAACCTCTGCAATCATTTGAGATGAAAAAATACATAGGACTTCCATCTTGGGACATTTGATTTGAAGGTGTCTTTCCTTCTAACTGCATCAGAATGCATGGAGGTCTTTGTTACTGATGTAAGTTGAATTGCAATTCTGAAGCCTAAGTATATGGATTTAAATATTTTAAATATTTCTCTGTCCTAATTTGGAATCAGCTGAAAACACTTCAGCATTAATTTTCCACAGCCAGTTGCCTTTTGAATTGCAATTAGTCTTTCACAGACAAACATATGAATTTTTCTCCAAGTACAACAAGCTGTTGAATAAAAATGTTACCTCTCTAAAGATTTTGCTTCACATAAGCACAAGTTTTGGAGACCAAATGAAGAAGATTTTAAAATTATAAATGTAATTAAATATAGATATTGGCATTCAGAACTCCTACAGAGATAGTTAAAGAACTTAGAAATTGAATTTTAATTCTATTCCCAGAATTTTCTTTTGATTTCATTATATTAATATATAATAGAAATATTATTGCTCTACCTGCACACAGATCTTCAAAGTTGGATTATTCCTATTAATTTCATTCTGTGCCAAATTTGTTTTAAGTGCCTTGATCATTATTTTCTTCCATTTATCCTTATTTCATTTTTGATTCTCAGTTTCCTTTTCTACTTTTTCAATTTGCTTTTATTTTACCAAAATGATTCTCATGTGAATTTTTTCAGTCTATTCCACTTCTCTTATTTTGAAACAATAAAATTTGTATTTGTTTTATCTTGATTATGTAAAATCTAGCCACAATAAGAATCAAAATTAGCTTTCATATTTATACAAGTGTTACAAATTTATTCTAAAGAGAATTTATGAAAAATTTTAAATCTTTTTTCTTTACTATTGTGGTTACTTTCACTAAAAATAATAATAGTTTTACCTTTTTCTCAAAGAAAATGTCTTTAAATCCAAGTACTATGTAATTGTAATCTTGGTTTCTGTGGTTCATTAAAACCATCTTATACTTTCAAAGTACAAAAATCACAGTGAAATCAGAGCTGCAACAAACATTAATTTTACTGAAATCAATGAATAAATTCCTTGAAATGTAGATATTTCTTAATAAGTTGGAACCCTTGTATATCTACATCTAAAAATGTCAATTAATAGCTATTCTTTAGTGGAGCTCTTTAGTATTGACACTACATCCAATTTTATAGGAAAGTTTTACATTGTTATCAAAGTCAAAAATAAGCTATGAATATTATTTCATTGGCTTTAGTTACAATTGTTCAATAATTATTTTAATATATGTTCTTGCAATCAAATACTGATATTGTTTGAAAATCAGAAGTAAATTTAAAAAAAAATCATTTTACATATAGAACAGACTTTTTATTCATATGAAACTTGTCCAGTTATTAAGACAATATTAGGATGGTTTCAGGGAGTTGCCTGCCTCTTAATTTTACTCTGTTAAGCTAACATTAATTGATGTAAGGGAACCATTTTAGCATAGACAAAGGATCATTTCCTTGGATACCATTTTCCTCTACAGAAACCTGCTATCAATTGACCGTTATTTTAAAAGTACTTAAAATATATCTAGAAATATATATTTATTATATCTATAATCTTATCTCTATGTATTATTCAAATATTTTCAGTATGTTTAGAAGGCCCATATAAATTCCCTTAAATATGTTTATGTCTTAAACATTTTCTATTATTTCAATAAAAGTAACTCACAAAAGAAATTTGAGTTATGCAAATTATATGCAAGTTTTAATGGCTCAGACTTGATGTCCATGAGCAAAAACCAGAAAAGCTGTAAATTGTGATTAGGAATGAAATACACTTTTTCCACAAGAGAATTGACATTCTGGAAAACTTTCCTTATTATTTTGCCCACAATGAGCTGGGGAAAGAAACGTGACCTATGACCTATGTTATCTATGAATTTACATTAGTTATTTCATGAGGAATAAATAGAGAAGGCATTTCCACAAAGGCTTCATAAAAGGTCTTGTAAATTCTTTCAAATAGCAGTAATAGATTCCATCATTTAAATTCTTAAAATACCAAATTATTGCATTTTTGCATTTACTGTATCAAATAAATGTGCATACACCAGGCGATGCAGGCTCACTTCCAGCTCAGAATCTCAATATGTTAAAGTAACTCCAGATATATTTCCTTAAAAACAGATTATCCATGCAGTATATCTGTTCTAACTTAAATGAGAATGCATAAAATTTTCAGCAGAATAATTATTCTTCAGCATTATTCTAAATCCAGTGTAAAGTTGCTCAAATTGGCATAACCTTGCAATTCATTGCAAATTCCCTCATTATAGTTCTGCTTCATAGTTCATGGGGACTGGGTACACTCTGGGACAGAGAAACCACTGAAAATCATTATATCAGCATAAGCTTGATTTCCACATGCAGGACTACAGCTGCCAGACATTAAGCCATAAAGAAAATTGCTAGCACAGGTAAGAATTGTGGTGACAGGGAACAATACAGCTTCGAGTCACTGGCTATTCACAGCTTCACCTTGGGGAATCTGTGCAGCTGCCAAATTCATCACCTGCTAAGAGTTGCAAAAGTATTCAAAGCTGAGGTATAAGCAGCTTACACTTCTATCACCCCATACTTTCCCAGACTTCCCATGACAATTAAAAAATGCACAAAAATTAAAGTAATGATGATAAAAAATCCTCTCTTGCAGAAGTTTAGTATTGCTCAGAATTAGGTCTGTGAACCAGGTTCATGTTCAGGGTCCTTTGCTTAGGTGGCCTAGGTTGTGTGTTAAGTCTGGCGACATCTTTAGTGAACTCTTTCTAATGTCCCCAACAAAAATGTTGTAAGAGGGTGCCTTTGATGGCCTCCAGGAAGAAATGATGTTTCAAAGGTGAGAGGTTTCCATTAAATAGATGAGCATTCAGTTTAGTCACCCCCACATAAGTATCCGATACCATGTGAGATGCCCAAAATTATCTAAGTCATCCACACTAGGCTGGCACATATGACACAGATGAAGTTATGGAGTGGTAACAGGAGTTTGAATGGGCTCTAAAGTATCCCAGATGATATTAGATACCTTTTTGTAGACAAATAGAATCCAGGATCCCTCATATATATATATATATATATATATATATATGTATATGTATATATATATATATATATATATATATATATATGTATGCATATGCACCCAGTAGTGCCACTGTTTATTTGAAGTTATTATCTAACAACCCACCTGTGTGATGGGACAGCCTGAATTTAAAAATATTTAATTTCAGGTTGCTTAAGCTTGAAAATATGAACCTCAACTGTCCAATGAATGATACAAATAGTGAGAATAGGTGTGATATCCATTAATACTTAATAATTTTGGCAAGTATGGGAAATGCTAACTTGTAGAGATCCTCTTTATATGGAAGATTCTCTTTTTTTTCATCACTTCAGTCAAAAATGTGTTCTGTAACCAAGTCAGAAGTAAATCACCCTTACTCAGCAGTTATTGAAAAAAATCACCAACATTGGTTGCTATTACCTAATATAGACTTTTTGGGGGTTTTTTTCCTATTTAACAGTAAAATGTTTCTGAGTGTAATTTTGTGAAGGTTTGGGTGGCACATTTCAGTCACATTGTGGAAAATCTCACATATAGACATAGTATGAAAACAGATTATCTGGCTTAGGTTTTCTCTTGTCTGTATGTCTGTATATTTTTCCAGGATATCAGTTAATTTTAAAGGGCCATTTGTTCCACTTGAAAGGTGAAAGAGAAAGAAGACTTGCTATAGCAGGCTGAATGGATAAATATTCATGTTGTAATAAAGAGGGTTCTACTGCACAAATGTCCACATCAGAATTGTACATACAAAGGATTTTCTTATAGCCAGAGTAGACAAATCACTATTTCCAGGACATGATTCATCATCTTAATAGGTGAAATAAATCAAACTTTAAAAATGTGTTTCTCTCCATTGACTGCAAAAGTGCTTAAAATGACTAGTTCAGACAGAATTACTTAAGCTGGATAAGATGCATCTCTACCCTTTGAGAAATGTCTAGAAGGAACTGGCCCCACAAACATTTATTTCCAATATATATGACAGGAATTTAATTTAGAATATAACTCCAAGACTCAAATATGCATTGAACAAAAAACAATTTCCCTGTTCTGAAATCAAACGCTTATGATATTCACAAAGTGGATAATTTGGAGCTTTCAAATTACAGGCAAAGGAAGCA